TATCATGGTGGAGAATCAAGGAAGTAAGCCAACACTGGTCAAACAAAGTGACACTAATACACTCTTGTGTTTTCTGCAGCTTTTCTAGTCCTTCAGAGAGATTACTTCCTTTGACACTTAAGCATTGGTGTACCATCTTAGGCCCTTTACATCTTTCTCAAACAATTCTTATTCACTCTAGCATGTCCCCCCCCAACACACATAGATACACACACCATTACTGCTTTGTGCCCCCCAAATCCTGGGACCAATGGCATGTGCCGCCATACCTGACTGCTCACCAGCTATTTTCATACATATTGATGACTCCCAAATATTTGTGGGGGGGAGGGTGTATGCATGCCCATGCACGTGCAGAACAGAGGACATCAGGTGTCTTGTTCTTTCACATTCTGTCTTATTCCCTTAAGAAAGGATCTCTCAAAGCTGGAGATATAGCTCAGCAGTTAAAAACACTGGCTTCAGCTGACCTCTGGATTCAATTCCCAGAACCCACATGGCAGCTCACAACCGTAACTCCAGTTCCAAGAGATCTCACACCCTAACACAGGCAATCCAGACAAAAGACTGTGTATAAAATAAAAAAATAAAAGGGCCAAGCTGGGCAGTGATGGCACACAACTTTAATCTCAGCCTTCAGGAGGTAGAGGCAGTTGAATCTGTGAGTTCGAGGTCAGCCTGGTTCACAAAGTGAGTTTCAGGACAGGTCCCAAAGCTACACAAAGAAACCTTGTCTTGGAAAAAACAAAATAAATAAGAGGGTCTCCCAGTGCCCCAGAAGCTTATCAGTTCAGCTGTGCAGAGCCAGGGAACGTCCTGATTCTGCTTTTCCAGTGCTGGGATTACAGGTGCACACAGCCATGGTCAGCATCTTATGTGCATGCTTCAGATTTAAACTCATGCTTGCACATCTTCAGTCTTTTTTTTTTTTGACCTGGAAGCCTCTATGCTGGACAATTTTATCTAAGTGTTCTATAGATAAAGTTTTGGTTTTGATTTTGAGACGGTTTCTCTGTAGCTTTGGAGTCTGTCCTGGAACTCTGTCTGACCTTGAGACCAGGCTGGCCTCGAACACAGGCCTGCTTCTGCCTCCTGAGTGCTGGGATTAAAGATGTATGCCACCATACCTGGCTTTTTTTTTCTTCTTCTAAATTGCCTAGGCCAGCCTTGAACTCCCATTGTATCCCAGCAGACCTTGAAGTTGTAATCCTCCTACCTTGGTCACATAACTGAGATTACAGGCCTGTATCACCAGCCCAGACACTTTACACACACACACATTTACATATGTATGTGTGTGTGCGCATATGTGCATATGAATGCAGGTGTCTGAGGAGGTCAGAAGAAGGTGTTGGCTCCTTTGGAGCTATAGCTAGAGTTGTGAACTGGGTCTTCCGTAAAAGCAGTAAGCACTGTTACTGGATAAACCTGGGTTATACGTGTTCACACCCGCACAGACATTGTTCACAGTCAGACATCAGGCTCTGTCTGTCTGGCCCTCCCATACCCCTTACTTTTTGAGACGGTGTCTCACTCTAGTCCAAAATGGCTTGGAATTGACTATAGCCCAAGATGGCCTCAGAATTGCAGCAGTCTTCCTGCCTCAACCTCCCAAATGCTGGGACTACAGGAATGATCCACCATCTTTTACTTCTGGGTGTTTTTGTCTTCAAAAGAAGTAGTGACCCAAAGTTTCGGTTGAGTAGATGGCCTTTCTGCTGCATCCCTCCCCTGCTCCCACTCTGGAGAAAAGGGTCTCCAGAGACTCCAGACAAAAGAATTCATTTGATTTTCAACTGCCCACATCTGGGAGCTGGTGAAGAAAGACGTCAGAACTAAACACAGCATTACTCCTTACTAGCTCAGCCTGCAGACTTCCAGAAGGAAGGGTCTGAATCTGTCTCCAGTCCTGTCTTTCCTCCAGCTGCTGTCTCACAGCTATGGCCTTCTCTCATGCATGCTCTACAGGAAAAAGGCCCTCTGTGGGCTGGTACCTTCACTCTGATCTAAGATCGGCCATTCTGAGCAAGGGTTTCCAATCAGCTACTATGGTGGAATTCTACAAACTACTGCAGGGATAGAAGCTAGGGGGTCAGGGGAGCCAGCTGCTCACAGGTGTGGAAATGAAATGATTACCTAGGACTGGTTTCTTACTCTTGGGAGAATGAGATTGCATTGCTGTCTCTATTGCAACACAAGCCACAGACCTCTTTGTTTACACTGACATGGCCTCTACACACCCTATGACCTACAATTCAAAATCTACAGTTTAGGATAGTCCCTTTTGACGGGGACCAGTTTTTCCTATGTCTGCTGACCTCTGGTGGTGAGATTTTGAATTGTAGGCTCCTTTCTCAGTTGTAGCCTGTTGACAAATGCATGTACACACTTTTCAGCAATCCAAATTCAGATATCGAAATATGGTAAACAGGGAGCTGGAGAGATGGTTCCCAGTTAAGAGCACTGCTTGCTCTACCAAGGGTCCTGAGTTCAATTCCCAGCAACCACCTGGTGGCTCACAACCATTTATAATGAGATCTGGTGCCCTCTTCTGGTCGGCAGGTATACATGCAGGCAGAACACTATATAAAATAAATTGTTTTTTATTTTTTTATTTTAGGTTTTCAAGACTGGGTTTCTCTGTAGCTTTGGATAAATAAATACTTTTTTAAAAAAGTAAAGAAATATTGTAAACAGTGTAAATATTTATTTTTGATACATAGTCTACGTAGCCATGGTAGACCAGGCTGACCTTGAATTCACAGAGGTTCACCTGCTTCTGCCTCCTGAGTGTTGGGACCAAAGGTGTGTGCCATCATGCCCAATATAGAAACATTTCTTCAGTTCCTGAAGTTTGGATTTGTTTTAAGGCAACATTGTATAATACAGAGAACAAAGCCCATGCTTTGGAGTCATGCATACCTAGGTTCAAATCTCAGCTCTGCTTTAAGTTTTATTTTCTTTACATCAGAGTGACCACGGACAGCTCATCTATCCTGAATTTTCTTTTTCTTTCTTTCATTCTTTCCTTCTTTCTATTTGTTTTTGTTGTTGTTTGTTTTGTTTTGCTTTGCTTTGCTTTTGGTTTTTTTTGTTTGTTTGTTTGTTTTTGTTTTTTGGGTTTTTTTTGTTTTTTTTTTTTGAGACAGGGTTTCTCTGTAGCTTTGGAGCCTGTCCTGGAACTAACTCTTGTAGATCAGATTGGCTTCGAACTCACAGAGATCCGCCTGCCTCTGCCTCCCGAGTACTGGGATTAATGTGCTACTACTGCCTGGCTCTATTCTGAATTTTCTTATCTATAAAGTAGAGATAATATCTCAAGAAAAAAATTAGATGATTTGAAACAGCTCTGGCTGTTTCTATAATATAGTAGATGCTCAATAAAAATTATCTTCTCAATGATAATAATTTCCTTAGTGTTTGACTCCTTAGGAGTATGTGCATGTGTGTGATTTGTACTGCGTATATAGGCGACTACCTGCTACTGTGTTAGCTGTTTTTTCTTTTCATTATGGCAAATATACAATAAAATTACCATTCTAACAATTTCTTTCTCTTCCTCCTCCTCTTTTTTCTTCTTCTTCTGAGACAGGATCTCTAGCTATCCTGGAACTATGTAGACCAGACTGGCCTCCGACTCATAGAGCCACTTGACTCTGCCTCCTGAGTACTGGGATTCTAACCATTTTCAATTTTGTTTTGTTTTTGTATTTGTTTTTTGAGACAGGGTTTCTCTTGTAGACAGGATGGCCTTGAACTCAGAGGTTCACCTGCCTCTGCCTCCCAGGTGCTGGGATTAAAGGCGTGTACCACCTCTGCCTGGGTACCATTTTCCAGTTTAAAGCTTTATTTTGGGTGGCTGTAGAATTGGCTCAGCAGTTAGAGTACTTCTCTTATTTTATTTACCTGGGTGTTTTGGCTGCATGTATGTCTGTGCACATGTATGCCTGGTGTCCATGGAGGACAAAAGAGGGTGTCAGGTCTTCTGGAACTAGAGGTATAACTCTGGGTGTGGGAACCAAACTCATGTCTTCTACTAGAGTGGTAAGTACTTTTGAACACTGTGCC